GGGAGGAGCACCGTGGGGCGTGAGTGTATAAGGGGCACTGGTGTGTGTGGGAGGAGCACCGTGGGGCGTGAGTGTATAAGGGGCACTGGTGTGTGGGGGAGGAGCACTGTGTAAGGGGCACTGGGGTGTGTGTATGGGGAGCACTGTGTGTGTAAGAGGTGAAGAGAACTGTGTGTAAGGGGGTGAGAGGAGCACCATGTGCGTGTGTGAGAGGCACTGTGTGGGGAGGGTCTCATGCATGTCTCACGGTTCCGCTTTCCTCTGTACTCAGCTAGGGTTAATCCTAGCCAACCTTACACACACACAAAATGTGAATTCTGTTCTGTTCCAAAATTCACCAATGACATGGACTCCAATTCATGATCCTGAAGCAAGTGCCACAGCTGAACGGAAGCAGCTCTGGCCTGTGCCCAGCAGGCTATGGCTTCCCTCCCGGGCCTATGCCCAACTATATCCCACCTTTCTGCCCCCCCCCCCATGTCTGTCACCCCCGCACTGAGCCCTCCATGCACCAATTACCCCTCTTGCTCCCTGAGGCCGAGAGACACATCACGGTGGAGGTGGTGTCATTTCTAAATCCCAGCCAGTGAATTTGGACCCTGCTGACCCTGACCCTGGCCGCTCTGGTGGCCACAGCAGCCTGGATGCCCAGGGCAGTGGTACAGACAGCACAGCATGTGCTTCCTCCCGAACTTTGCAGGTCCGGCCTGGACACAGCCGCTCCCACCCTGCCCAAGGCCTCTGCACCCATAGGTGGAGGCTGAATGCCCAGTCCAAAGCCAGCCCCGTGCCCGGCCCAGAGCTCACCCAGAAAGGACTACTGCAAAGCCCAGTAGAAAGGATTTATTTATAGTCAACAGGTGACACAAGCCTTCCTTTAAATTCCATTTTTTTTTTACAGTAAATAACGCATATTTCCCTCCTTCCCATGCAAGATAGAGGTGTATTAATCTACAACTCTATTTTAATTGTGAAAAAATAAAGTGTCTCCCTTTATAATCAGACTGGTAGCGTGGATATTATCTGTAGTAATGGATGGGGTTGCTCATTTCTGGACTGGTTATTTGGTTAAGTCCTAAAACATTAGGTTGAAAAAATCCCTCACCCAGTAAAAATAAATACTGCAACATGAAGGACATGAAAATCTACGGCACCCTTTAAAAACATTTCCGGAGCAGCAGTGTGGGGCTCGTGGGACCAGCAGGGCTGCAGCCTGAACGGACAAGCCCACAGGCTACAGCAGGGCCACAGCCTGAACGGACAAGCCCACAGGCTACAGCAGGGCCGCAGCCTGAACGGACAAGCCCACAGACTACAGCAGGGCCACAGCCCTACAGACCACAGGACATTGCTCTGGCCAGCTGCTTGTGACCTCCGAGGAACCTGGCCACCACAGCACATGTGCTCTGTCCCTGGGAAGCTCACCATGATTGCAAAAAGACTCTGTGTCCAAACAAAATTCAAACAAACAAGGAACCCAATCTTATCCGCAGGACTCAGGATCCTGCCTGGCTTACAGCAGTGGTCATCACTCCTCTGGCAGGCCATGGCTGCACTGGACACAGGAGAAGGGATACCAGTCGCTGCCGCCAGGCTGCCTGTCAACCTGCAGCCCTCCCCAAGGAACCAGAGACAAGGACGGCAGCGGGGTGCTGCAGCAAGGCCTGCGCTTTATTGTGGGTGATCTGAAGGAACACGGTTGGCCAGCAGGAGCCGGGCCTTGCTCTTGGTCCTGGCCACACAGCCCTCAGCCACCATACATAAATAGGGACAGACTCTGCACATGTGGCACCACCAGCCGCAGAGCAGGAGCCCACTGGTAAGGGGCCTTGTGCCCAGCCTGGCACTGAATCCGTCCCAGCGGTGCCGGCCATGGGCATCTCCACGCTGGCCAGGCAGCTTCAGTCCAGCTCGATGGGGCTGCTGTCATCCTGGCTCTCTTCCCCCTCCTCCTGCTCTGAGGAGCCCATGAGGCTGCTCAGCAGGTTCCCTAGAGGGAGATACCGGCCAGGGATGGTTAATGCACAGAGGCAATGCTACCCTGGAAGCCCGACCTCCCCAGGGAGCCCACTGCCCAGGTCACCATGTTCAAGTGGGTTGCCTAGACGAAGACACACCCAGCCACATGTCGTCAATGCCCAGAGACAGTGCTGCTCCGAAAGCCCCACCTTCCTAGAGGAGTTTGATGCCCAGGTCGCCATGCTTTGCAGGAAAAACAGAGTCCAGAGGCCCGGCTGGCTACAGCTCTTGGAAGCCACACTAGCAATGTCCCTGATGACTAGTGACAGGGCAGGACAGACCCCAAGCCTCCACCAGCCGGGGAATCTAGTCTTCAGGAAGCAGCCCAAGGCCCACGGCTACCAGAGAAATATGCACAGCATGCGGACCAGAGCCTCAAGGTCACATCTGAGCCACTCACAGCCACTTCCTGTGTGCACATCTCAAACGCACAGGACTTACACTGACCATGTATCTGCCAACCCTGAGGAGTCCTCTGTCCCTGAGAGTGGCAGAGACAGGGAGTGTTCTGCCAGGATGCCTGGCTGTGAGGAAGCAGATGCTCCTCTGCCTGCACTTCCCTGTGGCCCCCTTGGGGACCCTGGTAGCATTTCTGGGGCAAAGGGAAACTGCTGGCTCTAAAACTCTGTGGGACAAGCAAGCATACATCCTAACGACCCTGGACTGCCACTACTCCACACTGGGATATGTGCCCAAGCTTCCGCAGTGCCAATCCCTGAGAGCTGGCTGCTCAGACAGGAGAAAGCAGTGCTCTGCTGGAGACTGCTGGAGACAGCTCATACACTCCACAGGCCACAGGCTCGAGAGACAAACATCTTAAGAGAAACTAGGTATGTAGGCTCAGACCATGCTCTTAGCACTTAAGAGGCTGAGGCAGGAGGATCAAATTGAGTTTGAAGCTAACACAAGTTACAGGTAGTAGTGACCTTGTTACAAACAAACCAACACCAACAATAGCTAGGCACCCAGGAGGCTAAGGCTATAAGATCTCTGAGTTCAAGGCCAGCCTGATCTACATAGCAAATTCCAGGCCAGCCAGAACTATATAATGAGACCCTGTTTCAAAAAACAAACCATCAACAACAATAAACTAGAGAAACACTGTCATAGTCTACACCAAGTCACTAAGGCATAGCCAGCGCCTAGAAAGCCTCGTGAACCCAGCTGTACCCCCTTCCACAACACAGAGTGTGTCTTCACAGCACAGGCACGGAGGCCACACTCCAGCAGGTAATGGCACAGTATAGCTCACGCCATGCACGGTGCCTGCAGAGTCCCTGCCAGCAGGAGACAGAATTCTGAACACTGAAGGGGGATTTACTACTTAAAACATGTACTTAGGGGCTAGAGAGATGGCTCAGAGGTTAAGAGCACCGACTGTTCTTCCAGAGGTCCTGAGTTCAGTTCCCAGCAACCATATGGTGGCTCACAACCTTCTATAATGAGATCTGGTGCCCTCTTCTGGCCTGCAAGCATATATGCAGACAGAATACTGTATCCATAATAAATAAATAAATCTTTAAGAAAATAAAATAAAACATGAACTTAGAAGGGCTGGGGAGGGGATGCAGGTCAGTGGTAAAAACTTGTCTAGTGTGTTCAAGGACCTCCCTGAGTCTCTAGCACCAGAAGAAGGAAAGAAAATCGGACACTTCAAATGCACAGAGGACTGCACTGCACTGGCCCTGCCTTGGTGGGGTTGCTCATATCTGGAGTTCAGATCCATCAAGTGGTGCCCAGTGGACAACCTGAGCTGTAGAGTCACAGACTTCGACAGCAGGTTAGAAACCTGTGTCCATGCAGACAGCCTGGACTCATGGCAGAAAGGACCGAGGGGAGCCACCTGTCCCGGACCAGACCACATGGCTCACCTAGCAAGCCTCCATAGGAGGATGTCTGCTTTGGCGGCACACCGAAGAAGAGCTGTCCAATCCTGTCGAGGTACTGCAAGAAGCAGGGCAGTGGGGTCAGCAGGTGAACAGTGTCCAGCCACAGGGCCCAGCTGGGGCTGCCCGCTCTGCTCCCTCCTCTAGGCTGCGGCCCAGGTGGGGAGCCTCAGCCAAGGGCAAGAGCCTCACCTCGTTGTACATGGGGTCCCTCCGCAGGGACGGCTGATACTGCTCGCACAGCACTGTGAACACAGCCAGCTTGCCGCTGCAGTAAGAACCAAGGATGACTCCCAGTGAGACCCGTGACCCCACAGACACACACCCAGCACCCAGCTCACTCACCCGTCCACAGCCAGCAGCAGAAACCAGATGAAATTGAGCAGGGGTTGAACGAAGGGTGGCCCATCCTCGATGGACGGGTGCTTCTGTGTGTACGTTGTAAAGACCACCAGGGCACTGTTCTTGTTTTTCAAACAGAGAAACCTGCACGTGAGAAGATCCAATGAGTGAAATCCCATAGGCAGAGCTAGGAGATGGGGGCGAGGCGGGCACGCACTCCTCAGCCATGGCCTCTGCTTTCTCCACCCCTGCCTGCATCTGTCATAGGAGCACATGGTGCAGGGGGCTGAGCAGGAAACTGACCCTGGTGCCGTCTGGGCTGCGCTTTAGGCAGGCTTGGCCTCTGCCCAGGACGTCACCCTAGCAGTCTGCAGTACTTCAGTGGGGGACAACAGCTGCAGTCCACGCCCAGAGCCAGGCTGGCGGGCTGGAGACGTTACACAATCCCGTGCAAACATCACAGCTGGCTGTGGTGGCATATGCCTGCAGTCCCAGCACCCGGAAGGCTGAAGCAGGACAACTGGTCCAGGTCTGAGGTCAGCCTGGGCTTTACAGTGAGAACTTGCCCCAAAGGGAGATAAAGTGCTGAGTCCCCACAGAAGACCCTCCTGCCACCATCCACACAGCAAGGCATTTTCGTGGATGACCACAGGAGAGCACTGTCCCCTAGGAAGGGGGGCCAAAAGGTAAGGCGCTGGCCATCAAGCCCGAGGATGCACTCAACCTTAAGGCCAATATGGCGGAGGGAGAGGACTCCAACAAGTTGTACTCTCATCTTTACACACGCCCACCACAGCGCGTGTGCCCTGCACCTCCGCTCTCTGCATATACTAGGTAAATAATAAAAATGTCATTTAAAATCAAAACAAACCCAGGGGCGGTGCCCTCCTGATTCAGGCAGGTGAGGACGAACCGTCCACCAGCGGAGCTGCGCCTCGCTCCTCCAGCGAGGATGGGCAAACACAGCCGCAGGGCAGGCCGCAGAGTGCAGCAGCAGACACCGTGTGAGCTGAAAAGACAGCCTTGAGCCCGAGGCTCTCCCTCAAGCATGGAGCAGTCTAAGGACAAGGCGGTCTGCTCAGGGCTGTCTCCACTCCAGGCTGGGAGCTGCACAAAGGCCCCACAAAGTCCTCAGGAGCACTTACTGCAGCACAGCCTGGGCCACGAACATGTCCACCTCACTTCTGAAGCCTCGGGCAGTGGAGTACTCAACCAGCATGTTGGCGCAGCCCTCGCCGTCAGTGGAGTGCAGGAAATGATACCGAGACTCACAGTAGTTTTGCTCTGTGAAGGGAAAGAATCTGCAGCTGGGCATGTGTGAGCATGGAGGGCACAGAGCCACCCACGCTTCCTCCCCTGCTCCAACCCATTTGCACACCTGGGCACACCTGCTGCCTGTGCTAGGACAGGAACCCTGGAGCGAGCTGTCTGTCTGCACGGCTGCTCACACCTGCCTGTCACCAGCCTCCTTGTGCCCAGAGAACCAACACCAAACAGCTCAGTGGGCACGGTCACCCAGCCCCCTTCTCCCTGTTCTACATGTGTGAAACTGCTGTGTCTTCCCAACCCTTGTGTGCGTGTGAGTTGAGTCCACAGCAAGTTACTTCTTCTGCTCTTCTAACCACCCAGAAGGTCCTGGCTGAGGAAGCTCCTTTGCACACAGTGAAGATCATCAGTGCCTGTTATGTTTAAAGGCAGAAACCTGCCTAGCATTTTAGCCCAAAGCCTAACAGGAGAGCATGCTGGGAATCCTGAGTAAGATCAAGTAGGAACCTGGGATTCCTTCTCTTCCTGGAGCCCTGACAGCAGGAGGAGGAAAGGTGCCCCCCAATACCAACAACTCAGGTCCCCAGCCCCTGACCCCCACACAAAGAGCTTTTCTGCCCAGGGCTTTGGGGTGTCAGAGAGAGAGAGAGAGAGAGAGAGAGAGAGAGAGAGAGAGAAACAGAGAGAGCGAGAGCGAGAGCGAGCGCACGTGCACATGTAAAGTAATTAGGACAGACCCTCATTCACAGCCTGCTTCTGTCTCACCGAGTGGGACAGGGCACTCTGGGAAGTGAATGGTACCCAACCCTGGGCTACTTAATCTTGGAGCAAGTACTTGGAAACCCCCTTCTCCAGGTAGTCACGGTAGCTAGAATGGATGTGGCCTAGGCTCAGTACCTCACCCGTCCCCGAGGACACAGCCACTATAACCTGTCTCAGACACTGCTGCTGAGTGGATCTAAAAGTCCCTGCTGGCAGCACCATCACAAATGCAGACTGGACATTTCCAGTGACAGGCAGCTTGCTCTCAGCTGGAGGATGGAACAGCCCTCAAGAGGAAGGCAGAGCTCTGAGGCACACAGTAGCATACGGAGGAACGACACTCCTGAGCTCTGGGGGTTAGGGGTTTCCTCTGAGTTTCCGTGAAGCTCCTGATAGTTCTCCCTGTAGCTCTGCAGTGAAGGTGGAGTGCCGAGTGCCCAGGAGGGAGGGAAGAGGAACCCCATAAGCCCCCAGGATGTATGGAAGTCTGCCTCAGCACATTTGCTATGGGGGGCAGGTGCACCTCTGGGTGGACACCTGCTGGACTCAAAGAACTTGATCAAGTTCATCCTGTGATTGTCATGGCTACAGGGGGCGTGGTAGCAGGTCTTGCTCACAGAACTAGTCTATACTCAACTTTGAATGACATTACCTCTGGCTCAGACCTTTAGAATTCTCAAAGCACAAAGGAAGGTGTGTGCCACAGGTCACTGTGCACTTCTAGGCATCACCTCGTCTCACCCAAGCTCCATTAGGCCCAGCCCACCCATTAGGAGAGCTGTAGCAAGAATGCCACCCTCACAGGGTACAGCTCCACACCAGCTTCCCCAGAAATGCCACTGGGGTAGGAACTGTTCAGGGCCCAGCAGACATTCAACAAGCATGTGTCTTGTGCCCAAGCCAACTCAAGAGCCAAGACCAGGCACACCTGCAATCCACCCCATGACCAAATATCTAAGAGATGCTCACCCCAAAACTGAGATAAATATTAAGAGAACTACAGGGCAGGGAGCCGCCAAAGGGATGGAGTGTGGAGGTTTACTGAGGAAGGAGGAGAGTGAGAGGTTGTTGGAAGAGGAGCATGCGACCAGTGGGAGAATCAGGACAGAAACTGGAAAGGACACAGCACCACTCCCCAGGGGTCCCTTATGAGCTGTGGAGGCTCCATCTGGGTCAGTCTACTACCAAAGCAGAAACACTGGACTTAGCTAGTTGAAAGACAGGCTGATGTTCTTCCCCATGGCCTCTCCAACTTCTCAGCACGCAGGTACACAGAGGATTCGGCTGCTGGCTAGAAGAGATCCCATGCCTACCTTTCCACAGCGTTAGGGCCAGCAACTGGTGGAGCCGAGGATGGCCCAGTTTCCCAGACCCTCCACTGGACCACTTCAGGGCTCTGGACACAAAAGCTACTCGCTCAGGAGAGTTTGGATCCATCAAGCTGAACACTTTAGCCAGATTTTCTGCAAATGACACAATCAGACCCTTACCAAAGGCACATATTAGGTGTCACAGGTCAACAAAAGCCCAGCACTCTGTGAAGAGGCTGGAGAAGTACTGTATGTGTCAGACCAGCCTGGGCTGTAAGAGTCAGACCCTGTCTCAGCTCTCCCCAACTACCCTCCCATTATACAACTTCAACAGAATGCCCAGAAGCCGGTCAGTCGAGTGCTGCTGGGTGTCCCGCATGCACTGCCCAGGTCTGGGGCCTCCCCGGGCTGGCTTGCCCACTGCCCTTCTGACTATGTTGATGTGAGTGGGCCATGCTGAGAGGCAGTTTTGTGGGAGCAAGGACCAGCAGGAAGGCTCCAGATGAGAGCAGCTTCCTCCTCTGTAAGAGCAGGGGAGGCCACAGAGCAGTTTGCAGAAAGGGCTCTAGCAGCCACATGCTGGCTCGGTGGGATTAGTTGCTGCCAAGAGGTCTGTAGTGTGTGCCCAGGGCATGGCAAGTGTGACCATCCCATGACAAAAATCAGTCCTGGAGTCAGAGACCCACCCCTGTCCCCCACCAAGTGGGATTGGAGGTGGTGAAGGGACTGTGGAGGAGATCAGTTCCAGAAGCCCATGTTGACAGGCTACTGCACAGTACACCATGCATGTGGAGTCCTCACCCAACAACTCATCAGCTACGTCCACCTCTGCCTTCTCCAAGGATTCGAGGACCAGCATGGACAGGTCAGCCGCACTGTTCTGCTGTAGAACAACCAACATACAAAAGCGCGGTTAACAACAGGCCCCCAGGCCTTCGGAAGGGCCGAGGTAAAGCGGGTGGCTGTGGGCTCTGCAGACGGCAGCCTGAGGACACATAGCTAGGACACTGCCAATGAGCAATGCAGCCGGGTCGCTGGCAAGTGGCAACCTTACAGAAGCCAGCCGGAGCTCCAACCACAAAGACTCCCCAGTCTCCTTGGAGACTAAGACCCTCTGTCATTGGTGGCCAGACCCAGGATAGTTCAATGCACCCCACCCCGCCCCGCCCCTCCGGCCTTTCCTCATCTCGGCAGTGCTTACCTGGCCATGACTGAAGAACAGCAACGCTCCTGAGTACATGAGCTCCCGGGCCTCTGCATGCTTGCTTTGGGACATGTATCTGCAGATAGGGAAGAAGGGAAATCCAACCATGAGTGAGTGGGAAGCCCAGCCATGCGCCATGCAGATGCCTACAAGGGGTGCTTGCTTTCTATGTGCTGGCTAGCCATGCCTGGGGTGGCTACAAATGCCGAGGTAACTTATTAAACTTAGGCCCAACAAGTAACCCAAGGAGAAGCCAGAGCAGACTAAGATGGAACTTCCATGATGGGGCAGGGGAGATGGGCACTGTCTACCCCAAACAGAAGGACTGGTCTGCATGTGGGGACAACTGGGGATAGATCCCTGGGGATGACGACAACAGCAACTGCAGCAACTCTGCCTAGGCCCAACTTCCATCACCACCCTCCACACCACCTGCTCAACAGTGGATGCCTTAACCCTTATACTCAGCAGGTGTGACGAGTGCTCCACCATCACCCAAGAACACGGCCGAGGTCCCATGGGCAAAGCTGGAGTTTAAGATGACTATACAAAAGCATTACTAATGCAGGCAACACTCAAATCAAGCCTGGGGGTATGATGGGACATCACCAGAACGGATGGCTCCTCTTAGGGCTGTATCCAACCAGTTACAGGGTATTCCACAACCAGGGCCACCCCGATATCCTCAGTAGGGCACAGGTCCCCAAACACCTTGCGGCTGCACTGACAGTAAAGGCAGCATATGAAAGCCAACATTGCAAGACGGAAGTCTCCTGTCACTGACCACCCTTGAGCCTTGTCAGCACCATTAGAAGGCAGTGGCCCCATAGCACCACCATGCACTCTGGGGTCCCATCACCAGCCAAGCAGATAACTTGACTGTTGTGTAGATATTTCTTCCAAAGTGTAATAATTCCCCCTGGAGGGAGCTCCTTAGCCCTGGAGAAGTAAACATACAAGGCTTAGGCAGCCCCTGAAACTTACAAATCTCACATAGCCTCTCACCATGGTTATACAAACAGTAACAACTGGTGGGGAGAATGGACCCACCCACAAGCAAGAAGCTGTGCAGGGAATTCCAATGATGCAGCTGCCTTTGAGTCATCCATTGCCCTGTTAGCCTTCTAAGCTCAAAGGCCCAGTAAGTGGGATGTGGGTTCAATCATTTCTTTGGTCTGCTGGCAGTGACCTATCTGGAGTGAATAGATATTTGTTCATGTCTCTGCAGGAAGAGTCCCACAATACAACTGGTACCCAAATAAGAACCAATGAGTTGAGGAAGAGTGGTTGCATGGCCCAGCATGGGTGGTGATCTGTGTGAGGATGGAATATCTATGAGGCAGTCCCATTATGTTTTCCTTTCCTCGTGTGGGATGGAATGGAGCACCTCCTTGTTGGAGTGGTGAGTGCATACTCCAGGCCATGGGTGATAAGACATGCAACCAAGGCCAAGCTATCTGAAAGTGGAGCATTCCTAGGCAGAATCATTAGGTGGCCATCTTCTTGTACTTGATATGGGATATCATGGGGATGTTACCCAAACCACTGATGGACTAGAGAATTTACCACAATCCTTGAATGTAGCACATAAGGAAACAAGCTACAGTATCAGGTGCATAGCCTTTGTTGTAGGAAAAGACACAGGATGCTTCCCACTATATTATCCCCTAGTAATTGGCAGGAAAAGTAGAGAAAAGTGAGGATGAGAGTGAGACCCAAAAACTTGGAAATCCACGGGAAGAAATTAAGATTGGGGAGGAAGAGAACATGGTCAAAATCACAGAAGAGACCCCATAGGTCCAACCTTCAAAAGGAAAAAGTACATGATTCAACAAGCAAACGGGCCAAGAAACTACAACGGAGCACTTAGCATCTGAACTGAGCTTGATGAGGAAAGACTTAAACATAGTCAAAGAGCCTGTCACAGCCACCACTCCCTGAGGCTGTAGAACACAGCGACTGACGGGATCAATCTGAGTGTAGTGCAAGCAAAGAAACTAGGGATGTGACATCCACCACCCCTTGAGACAAGAATTAGGTGACACAACCTTAGGTGACAGGAGGGGAATCAGCCCTGGTACAGTGGCTCATAAAGCTCAAAGGACACTAGGTTATTGCTGGCTGAGGTCTCCGTGACTTTCAGGGACTGGCAGAGAGCAGAGGAGAGACAGGCATTACTGTACATGAGAGAATTACTGTCTGGTGCTCACTTCACTAAGTCAGACAAAGAGTCAAGAGAGAGGCTGATGGAGCAGGCATCATGGACTGGGGTGGGCTTTTCTAGCCCAATGGTGAGACGTGATCTTCATGAGGTAGGAGAAGCTCTCCAGATCTGAAAGACTGACATGTAAACAAGGTTCAGAAAATGGCAAAGCAATCACAAGGAAAAAAAGAAGAGTGAAGAAGACCAAAGGGTGTGCCCAGGCCACTCAAAGGCAAATGTGGCAAGATCTGTGTTGAATCGGTATCGCTGGGAAAATACAACAAAAACAAAAATATTAGCAGAGTCAAGTGCTTGTAGTGAGCCTTTGAGGCTTTAAAACCTGAGCCATAGTCCGCAGACATCAATGCTACAACAGTGCAGGTAACAACAGAGCGGGCAGTTACTGCTCCAGCGCGAAGCATACTGGGATAAAGACTGCTCAGACTGGGGCCTCTTTCAGCAGTGTGGTCTGGTAGGGTGAGGGTTAGGGTGCCTGTCAGAACCAGAGGTCCAGAGGTAAGCCAGGAGTTCCTGTCTCTCCTGGGCCTGAGCCAGGGCAAGCAGCGTAAACCTGCCCAACAGAACACCAGGAACAGAGACGCACAGCAGTCCTGGGGCGGCAGCAGCCCAGGACGACGTCAGGTGGTTCATGGAAAATGCCTGTGGCTTCTGGAGGGCCAGATGGGGTGCTGTCCCCCAACCATGGCACTGGCCTATTGTCTCCAACATTTCTCTGGTGCCAGAACAACTGACAGAAGCCACGAGGTCTTTCCTGCTGGTCCAGGCTTGCTACCAACTCTTTTTTAGGGTCCTCTTAGCTGCTCAAGACCATGGACACTTATTTGGAATGGGTAATTGTGCACCTCCAGAGAATCTGCCCATTCTCTCTAAAAAGGTTTACTACAGAACGTTGACCCTTTAAGTATCTTACAGATGTGTAAAAACACCTAGAACAGGAAATAGAGAAATTAGGAGATTAAACAGAGACAGCCAGCCTGCCCGAACGGGAAAGGCACTCTCAGAAGCAGTAAGGTTATGAGAACTGCACTGCCAGGTGTGAACTATCTATCTCTGTTAAGCTGGTGGCCAGGGAGTCCCACAAACCATAAAGGCTACGCGCTAGAACCAGATGGTAAGTCCCGACTGTTAAAGACACCACATGCTTTGGCTGCAGGACATGGAGGAATGAGGCTAGAACTCAACTCAAAGTTCTCTCGCACTCACAGGCTTTTGTAGTGCCACAGGCACGGAGGCTGGTGGGGGCAGCTGTTCCCGACTGTCCTGAGAGGCTATGGACTGTGTGGGGGTGGGCGGGAGGGCTGCAGTACCAGCAGCAGGGAAGATGTACCCTGGGTGCAACAGTACACAACTGTTCAGGAGCACCAACCTCTTTCCGCTTGGGTCACAGCCTTTAGCAACTCGTACCTGCTACTGTAAGCCCGGGCAAAAGTCCACGGCCAACAAGGTCATAGAGCCAACAAGGTCACAGACCCTGCTGGAGGACTACCAGCTTTGTTAAATGGCTACATTGTGCCTGTTAAATGAGACATTTCTATTTCCCTCACAGATTACTGCTGCCAGCCCCTCAACTGGTCAGGGAAGGAAGTCTCTCTTTTCCAATGGGAGATGTAGTGTAGAGCCTTAGACCAGCTCAAGCTGAGACTCAGATGGAATGTTGTGGCACAGCGTGCAACCACAAATGAAGGACAGTCACCCGAACCTCGGCAAGCACTGCTGAAGAGGGATGAGAAGGACTCCGAAAGAGGTAGAGAGTAGCATGCCCTACAGCTACTTCCTAAACTGAAACATTCCCTGGGGGAGGGAGATGCACACTTCAAACTCAGGAAGTGAATGAACAAACCTCAAGAAGTAGAAAAACGGTGGTGGTGGTGGTGGTGGCGGTGGCGGTGGCGCACGCCTTTAATCGCAGCACTCGGGAGGCAGAGGCAGGCGGATCTCTGTGAGTTTGAGGCCAGCCTGGACTACAGAATGAGATCCAGGACAGGCGCAAAGTTACACAGAGAAACCCTGTCTCGAAAATCAAGAAACAAACAACAAAAAAAAACAAAAACAAACAAACAAAAAGAAGTTAAAAAAAAAAAAATCACAAGTCCCAAGAAGTTTCTATAACTTAAAAGATGCACATGGGCTCTCCCCACAAGGTGAAAGAAACAGGAACAACTGCCAGATAAAGAAGATGCCTCCACTAGCTAGGCTGCCTGCAGACCATGCTGGAAATCCAGGGATACAGTCATCGCCCATACTGGGGTGCTATTGGGTCTCACGACGCTCCTGTAAGTAACCCCAACAAACTCACTGATTCACTAAGCTAGACTTGATAAAACTGTTAACTTTGGTCTGTTGATGCCCTACTGGGTGAAGAGATGTTTATTCACATCCTCCCAGGGAAGGTCACATAATTCTGGTACTGCAGAAGAGCATTCTAGAAAAGCAAATGCTGTACTCATAGGCAAGCAACCTCATGTTGCTATCTGCATGAACAGAGACCACAGGTACAGTTCTTAATGACAGTCACTGGTTTGGGTGGCTTGTGCAGGACACCAGACTCCCAAGCCCTTCTATCTGAGGCTTAGCAAGAAAAACACTCATAGAAACCAAAGTATTCCGTCAGTGACACACCAAATTCCTAAGATCTGAACCTCCCACTGACCATGTCCTGCCTTACTGAAATCACCTGTTGCCAGGTCAGTGAAAGTTTGAAAGATTAAAGTTCCAACAGTGAAAAAAGAAAAATTCTCATCACAAAACTCCTGGAGCAGGGGGGTGGTGGTGGGTGTTCCCCACTGGGAGACTACGCAGGCTGGGTGTCCCAAGGCCATGGGACAGCTGAGCGTAGTCAGTCTTCCTTGGCA